TCAGCGGATGGAGCGCGCCACTTGCGATGGGAAGGCCGTGGGATCAATTCCAACCAAATTTCAAGCATTCGCCCAGCTGTCACTCTGGGATAATTTGTCTGAATGCTCACCCCTTCTGTACACACTGATGTATTCAGCTTTGTAATTGGTGCCCATCAGTGTCAAGTGTCTCTGCGAGCTCAATATTCAGGACCAACACTGCAGAATGCCGCAGTGCAATGAGCATAGTGTGTACACACATACACACTCACACACACACACTGATGAATCCCAGAGATGCCAACAGAATACAGCAAGGATAGTTGTTTATTTTTTGTACTATTGCTGGTATGAAAATATTCATGGAGACACTTTGCTGAATTCCCGATTCGATTTAAATAAGTAAGCCACTTAAATGCGGTTTCGGCGTAGCGTGGTCGGTAGTTGGGCCGGACAGGTGTTTCCCAAGAGCGAAATAATCCTCATCATTGGGACTGACAGCTCCCAGCACCAACTCAACACTGCTATTACTCAATGTGTGTTCATCAAACCGGTGGCATCGAGCTGGTCGTCCCGAGGCTCACGAGGAGACGGAAAAAAGAAAAAAGCAGTCGGGGGGTCAAATTGGTCTCTAATAAGTGTGCGCCTGAAATGATAAAAAGCCGAGGCACAAGAGCTCGCTTTCCGACCAGGAAGACGTTTGTAAATCGGTGCAGCTGCGGACACACACACACACACACACACACACACACGCTGCGCCGAAGCCGCCCTGCTCGGGCCGGCCTGGGCGAACAAGCGGAGCGTGTCTCAGGAGAGACAGAGGGGCCTCAGAGGCAGCCCGGAAAATCTGAGCCTGACCTCTCTGGAGAGGGAGCAAGAGAGGCAAACTGGATTTTTAGATATTTCTCTCTCTCTCTCTCTCTTTTTTTTAATCCCTGCCTTACACGCCTCACTGGTCCTCCTGCGGTACGACGTGGGGGCATAATGTAAAGTCAGGGGGAAAAAAAAAACACAAAAACAACAACAACAGGGGCTTGCGTGTCAGGAGAGAACATCCACGTCTGCTCCTATTCACCGTGACACGAGTGAAAACGGGACACAGTATCCCACTGGCTTTTGACCCACAGTTGTATGTAGGACAGCATCTTATTCAGAGCCAAATGCCATTTTGTTCCTCGCCCCTCTCTGTTCGAGAGGGAGTCTATCGTCCCCCCCTCGCCACCCGTGACGCATCTGCTCGACGTCAATTTCGAATCTGCGTTTCTCCGTTGGTGGAAAGAAGTCGCAAACAAAGACAAATAACAATAAACGCCAAAACAATTCACTTCACGTTCCAAAAAAACCTTTCGCACCAGAGTTTTTCAAAGACGTATGAAGTGATAAATCCTTCCCATCCATTTTCTTAATTACCAGAGAAGCCAACTGACAAATTAAACCCACGGGGACGACAGCAAACAACATTTTTACCTTGGATGTGGAGCTGCTCTGCTTTAATAGCTGGCGTTTCAGCCGCTTGATTTACAGAAGCCCGGCAATTCACAACGACGGAATCAGGCTCGTGAGATGTGCGTGGAATTACAACCACACTCCACTCAGGAAGATTCCCCACGAGGGAGAAGAGAAAGGAATTGGGCCGTGAGCCAATGCAACGTTTACGCTTTCCCCAAAAGGCGTCTGTTGTACTCTGCTCCATTCACCGGTTCTTTTTTCCTACTTTCAGGCCGAAATGGGGCTCGTGTGGACACAAGAAGGCTCCTCAGAAAAAGAAAAGGGTATTGCAGATTCATGAGCTCGGCCGCACGCATTGCTCCTCCTCCGGCCTCCTCTCGGGTTAAACTTGTGGCGATACTTCCGCGTCTGGCCGTGTGCGGCATAGATGTAGACCGAGAAACACAATAACACTTTGACCACGGGGGGGGGAAATATGTTGTTATCCCCAACAGACAGAACACGTCTTTCTTCCACACAGTGATGTATTTGTGTATGTGTGTGTGTGGGGGGGGGGGAGGGTCACTGCCTCCTATGTGCAGTCCAGATGACCGGTGTAACTGCCTTAGCGCACGATTCAACATAAGATGTGAGAGGAGCCGACTGCGGTGAAGACAAATGCACCTGAGTCCATGTTTTTATGGAGCGTTTCATCATCAGCGCAGACATTTTGTGTGTATCTCTACGCTTGTGGTACGTGCAGCATTGCAGAGAACTGCAGGGCTTGATACAACCAAGCTTCGTAGTCGAAACTCTGAAGTTTGCTTCATAAACGGCCTTGTTTTGCCCTCAAGAATACCGTGTTAGGGTTTTGCATTTGATATAGCTCAGAAATAGTGCACAAGGGGTTATGCGAATGCGAACATACGAGGGACAGTAAAGAATACCATAGCAACCAGAACCCATCTAACACCCAGCGTCGCCACGGGCGACTAAGCACTGACTAGTGTTCCACTCGTAACACTAACAGTTCAATTTTAGCAATTTTAGCAATGTTCCCTGCAGTTTTTTTGGATTCACAGTGTTGACAACTACCAGAAGCATGATGGTAAACATTCGACTATTGATTCAAGCTGTGGTTTTGCTCAAGGAGAGTCGCCATGCAAGATGTTGGAAATAAGACTAAGAATTGGGTTATTACCATTTGAATGGAATTCGTGGCAAACAGTTGGAAACCCAGCCAAGATTTTTTTCTTTGCTGTTAAATGTTTTTCTTTCTTTGGCGCCACACTCACTAAAACTTCATTCCGTGACATAAATATGTTAGTATTTATAAACTTGGACCTACACAAGGACGGGCGAGTCCGGACTTAAAAGCATATTAAGTAAGGGCATAAGGTTGGCGCTTTTCGCTGTTCAAAACCTGCCCTCTTTGCTTCTGCCTCCCGGTGTAACTGAGAAGCCTTCTGTATGCTAGTGAGACCGTGTGATAGTGACATAGTGTGTGTTCACACTAGGGAGCTGCTCTTACATGCACGAGTGAGATTACTCGTATGAATACTTGCATATGTTCTGAAACGTTTTATATCTTTGTAATCATATGCAAGAGATTCAGTTATGCATGTATAAGTGTTCACAATATACACACATACAACCTTTTCATATGTGCCTGCATGAGGAGATAAATGCTTCACTTGTATGCATGTAAATATAATTTACTGGGCATGCTTTAGCTTTTGTAAGGCAGTGCCTTCTTTACAGTACAAACAGATGTGTCCTGATGTTTACACTCGGAGGATGCCCGGTTTGGCAGCTCCTTGTTGAGTGACCTAAGCAACTCTGGAGCAGTGGATTAGGCCGCGGGAGGAGTCTGAAGACGGCCTACAGGCATTTCTGTGATTGAGCCAACGTCGGAGTCTTTCTTGGTTGAATCCAAGCTGATCACAGTCATCGTTCTCGCTCCAATCGGAAAGGCCACAAAGCGATTTCTCTCAAGTGGCGTTCGACTGCACAACAGAACGGGATCGGTCCAACGAGCTGCACGGAAAATATTTGGCCCGAGAAAAGCCGAATGGCTTCGGTGTCGACGCTGATGAACCTTCCCAACCGATGAACAATAGCATTAAACAACCGGAACTGCCGGACAACGATGTGATCACTCCCAGAAATGTGGAGGTATTAAAGTTTCATTTTTCACATTAATTTTGCCCGCCAGAGCACTTTGCTGGGGAGGTGGGGGGGTGGGAGGGGAAACGGACGCTTTCGTTAGTCCCTAAATTGCTAAATCCACTTGGCTCATGTTATTACTATGACATTTTAATTACACTTCCTGCTTGCCACCGGACCTGGATCCTTTGCATTGGTGCAGCTACACAAAGCCAAGGTGAATCGTCCAATTAAATGTAGACGCTTTCATTCAAAGCCGCCAAATTAACGTTCCAAACACAACCCGGTATGGAGTTTGAGGATAAAATCTCTAAAGACACAGCCATGCAATCGTCATGATTACACTTCCGTCCTGCCCCTATCCACGTCTGAACACGATGCCCTGTGATGTCAAAAACGCGCCCCTTGTGGAACGAATGATCAGTAAGCCTCCCGTCATTGCTAAACACGCAAATATTCACAGCTACTCTGTTTTACAGCCTATATGTCCCTCAGGCCTTTTCCTCACTTAGCCCGCTCCATCTGCCGTCTCACTCACAGCTCCCACTCATCATTCCCCCGCTTTGGTATGCTTCCTGCATCTCCTTCATTTGCCGTCTTTTCCATCTTTGTTGTTTGTCGAAGGACTTCTCCACCCTTTTCCTCTCCGTTTCCTACCTCTTCTCTATCCACCTGTCTTTTGCAGACTCATCCTCAGCCCCACATCCATCCTACTTCCCCCTGCCGGGCCTCATCTTTCCCACTCGCTCGGTTTCTCCCCCCAGTATATCTCTGCGGTACCCGCTCCCAGTATCCGCTGATCTAACCGAGATGGCCTTGCTATATCTGATTCCTCTAGACGGGAGGCGAGAAGGGAACCTCTATCCCACTTCGACGCCTCACCAGCTCCTGTTATTTGTTTTCATAACACAAACATGTCGTCCTCACTCACGTGACACCCTGCAAAGCTTCAACACGCTAACTCGAGCGGACTAAGATAGATCACATTTTACTTGAGTCCTTGCTTTAATGCTACTTAAAAAATGTAATAAAAAAAAATAGATTCCAAGATTCCTATCGGTTTAATGCGCAAGTGAAAGATAAAGACGAGAGAGGTGAAAGTACTGAGAATATCCCCGGATATCTGTCTCCGCTAATGAATACGATTAACGTTAATCCGTGGTAGCATCCACTTTCTGTGTGGATGTAAAAAGAAATAATGCAAATTCCCAGATCATGAGTCATTTCAAAGCGTTGCAGAGAGGGAAGGTATTTTCTTTTAAATCCAGGCCCAGAGTTACATGTAACAACTGGCTGCTGTAGACTCGTACAGATTTAACTACTACAAACGCCCAGAAAAGGCCTCTTGTGAAACACTCATCTCGAGTTCCACACGTGACACTCAGCGCCAACTCTCCACATACACCCCCCCAAAAAAGTCAACTCACGTGTTCGGAAGCGGTGGTGTGGGCGCGTGGCCGGGCCTTTGCCTGGGCGCCCGTGATTCCAGCGCGGCGTGGGCTTGACCGGGACCGCCTGCTGGGTGGTGGTCGGCTGCGGCTTGGGGGTGGGCTTCACGGCAGCTGCAGTCGTAGTGGACGCCGCGGTGGTGATGGCGGCGGCGCCCGCCTGCCCCGGCTTAGAGTTGCCGGCTCCGTCGCGTCCATTGCCGGGGCTGCTCCCCTTCCTGACAGTGCTGCGTGGGGTGACCTCCTTGCCGCTGAACGGCGGCGTGAGGCGGGTGGCGCGGGTGGTGGAGGAGGTCACCGCGGTGCCGCTGTTGCGGGTGCCGACGCGGTTGTGGAGGTGTGGGGCGCGACTGCCGTCTCCGTTGGCGGTGCTGCCATTGGCCGAGTGGTTGGCCGGTGGCCCTGATCGAGTTCTGGGCGCCGGGGCCGTGCCGTCGGCGGCCAGCGGCGTGGTCGTTGACACCATGGCCGTGGTGGAGGCCGTTGAAGAGGTGGTGGCTGTGGAAATGTCGGGGCCCTTGGGCACGGCGCTGGGTTTGGAGAGAAATATCGGGTCCTGTCCGATGCTACCTTTGGGATCCACAAGATCAGTGGGGACATAGTCCTGGACGGATCCCACAACGATCCACTTCAGCAGCATGAGACTGAGTCCCAGTCCCACGAAGCCCATCACCAGGGGCACGGCACACAGCCAGGTCTGCTGGCGAGGCCACACGGCGCAGGGGCCGCAGCGGAGAGGGCCAGGGACCCTGGGGGACGCCTGTTCAGCCCCCGGCTCCTCCAGTGTCATGGGAGCGAGACTGCTGGCAGCAGAACGCTCGCTCATCCTGCCGGAGCTCGTTTGGTCTCGTTGGAGGGTGTTCGAGAGGCGGGGGGGTCAGACAGGTGGCCGGGTGGTACAAGGGCATTCACGAGGAAGGGGACGGGGTGCCGGAGAAACGCTGGGCATCTTAAGTACGTACCCCCACAACGCCTCACCTATAGATACCTTCATGCACAAACATAAGACATGATAATAATGCACGAGCAAACACAAGCGCTCAGACTCCTAATTAGAGGTAATTAAACTGGCAGAGCACTGAAATGCATGCAGTAGTGATATCACCGACACTCCCTCTGGCGGACAACACACCAAACACACACGCAAATATGCACAAGAATATACAGGCTATCTATCACACGAGCACGCAGGTTATGGACAAGTAAGACAAGAAGGAGGAAAGGGGGTGTGGGTGGGGAGGGGGGTGGGCGCGCTCACTGTAGTTTCGCGCTAACTAAGCGACGATAAATCCCAGGATGCTCCACTCCCTTGTTATTAAAAAGCCGACGTAAAAAAAAAAAAAAGAATGGAGAAGGATATCGATCCGCTTCAGACGGGAGCTGTAAATCCAAGCGCGTGCGTCGGTCCGCGCGTAAAACAACAACCCAGGCCACGGCAGCGTCCGTCTCCACGCTCAATTGGACGATGATCGGACGCATAAGTTCCTTAAAATACGAAGCACTTCTTGTTCCTTTACTCTCTCGGGTGGGGGTGCGTCGGAGTTCTTTTGGCCCCACTTCTCTCTGCGTACATCAGAGAGGCTCCTCTCCCTCCACCGGGGGGGGTCTCACGTCGGCTACTTCAAGTTTGAGTGATCGCTCTCGGTTCCCAGCGACCCGTCTGCCCGCTCCAGATGTCAGTAATCCAGAGGCGGGGGGACGAGGGGGGGGGGGGGGGGGGAAAAAGAAAAAAAAGATTCGATGTGATCTGAAAATGAGATGATGAGGATGGCGCCCGTCAGAAGGGGAGGGGGGAGGGGGGGTTGTAGCCTGTGTCTAAATCCAACTGATCCAGGGGTCCGATCCCGTCCGCGCCGACCGCTCCGAATTTTCCCTGGAGTGTGACGGCCGTGCGTCTCCGCCGCGGGGGGGGGCTAGTGGGGGGGGGCTGTCTGCGACGATCCACCGTCGGTGGGAGGACAGGACGAAAGGGAGAGAAAAAGAAGGGGGGGGGAAAGGACTCTACGACTCGTTTACCTTTCGCTGCATTCCCACAGTGGTGCAAAAGGGAGATGGAGAGGGGGAGAGCGAGAAAGAGAGAGAGAGAGAGAGAGAGAGGGAGGGAGGGAGGGAGGGGGCTGCCGCTCTGAAAAAACGATGCGGCGGCTGTTCTTGGGAGGCTGCAGACCAGGGAGAGACAGCGAGAGGAGAGGGGGGGGGGGAGGGAGAAAAAGAGGAATGGGGGGGGGGGGGCAAGTTGCTTACTAAATCCGCGGTGAGCGATGAGGGTTTCACGCCTCCTGTCCCGATGCCGGCGCACTCCTCCGGTCCGCCGCCGCCGCCGCCCTCAACACTCCAAAGTGACGACTAGTGGCTGGCTGCCCCATCTCTCCACGGAGGAGGGTAGTTGCGCGCTCACTCCCTCATCGGTTCCAAAAAGAAGAGTGAAAGAAATGAAGAAAAAAAAAAAAGAAAAGAAAGGAAAGCAAATTGGTAGTGGGCAGGAATAGGGGAAGGTACGGCGGGCAGACGCGAAACAGAGAAGGCAGAGATGCGCGTTGGTTAAGCTCTGCAGCAGATGCAGATGGGAGGCAGAGGGAGGAGGCGGCGGCAGCAACAGCGGCGCGCACACATGCACACACGCACGCACGCGGCGGAGAGAGGAGAGGCGCTGCCAAAGACACACCCAAGGGAGGGAGAGGATGAGGATGAGGAGGAGGAGGAGGAGGAAGGAGGCGCCACCCCCGATGTCTTCCACCAGTGGCACACGAGAGCAAACAATCCGAACACCTGGCTCATAATTTATGGTTCCGAGTTAGAGCTCTACTTCAACTTGATACTCCGGTGGGCAGGTGATGAATCCTTCATTTTACAGCGCACAGGGGACGGCGGTGAGTCGGGCGCACAGCCAACACAGTTAAGAGAATATGACTCAACAATATTCTCAAGTTAAGAGTGGAATCCAGGCTCCTTTAATTAGGCAGATTTGGCATTTGGTTTGCATTATAAAAAGCTGGAGACGCATGCGGTCTGCGCGAATGGGCCTAAATTATGAAAAGAAAAAAAAGGCAATCAAAAGCGAATTACTGCGTGGAAATAGGAGGTGTGCGCTTACCTAAATTAAAATGAGTTAAAAAATGTAGGGTTGAAAACCAATTTGACAATGTTCATCCATCATGAAGACTTAAAAGTGTGCAGAAGGAGATTCAATATTGGGTGTCGGCTGTTTTTTTTTCTTCATTCTTTATCTTTTGAGAAGAAGAAAAAAAAAACAGTTGTAACGCGAAAGGTGAATCTATTACATTTACTTCCTGGCTGTTTTTTCACACCCAGTTTTCCTTGATGAATTTGTAATAATAATAAAAAAAAGCTATTCAAACAAGTAGCGGCGTTTAAACTGCTAATCAGACATTCAGATGCTTCTGGTGTCTCCGGTTTTGATGGTGGTGGGAGAAGGCCTCGCAAGTTGACAAACCCAGAGGTACTTTGCTTTCTAATTCCTCGTCTCTTCGGGATGAGGTGGGGTCGTGGCATCATTTCAAGCTGCTTCTTTGGAACGTGATTGATTCTGTTGAAACAGAATCAATGGGGGAGGAGGTGGATATATAGTCCATAATAATAATCCTTGTGCTGTGTATAGTGTGCGGCCTTTGCGAGGGATGAAAGGAAGCGGGGGAGAGCGAGGAAGGAACGAGGGAGTTGGAGGCAGGAGAGAGAGAGAGAGAGAGAGAGAAGGAAGAGACTATCAGCTTCTTTTTTCCACATGTTTCAAATAATCTTCGGAGATCAAGATCAGAACCCGGCAATCATTCCAACAAAATCCCAAACAACCTCAGTCATCCCCCTCTAAACGGCTCATCGCTCCAATAACAAAAAAGTAGATGCTTTTCAAACTCCTGCGCATTCCCCAAATGACTCTGAAATTAAGCTATTTTGAATGCATTGTTTTCCCAATAATCTGCTCCACCCTGAGGTTGGTTTCTCAGTCGATTTTCATAAATAATAGAAGACGTCTGACACAGTTGCAGAACTGTGACATTCTTCATCTTTCTGTGTCAATCACATCTTTCATTAGCGCCTTGATAATGCGTCTGATGAGTCTGAGTGCATTGTTTACTGCTGGAGGAGGAGAGGTATCTTCCCTCTCTGTAGTTTGTACCCGGCGGGCTGTCGGCAGTCGTTCCCTCCGAAGTCTTTTTTTTTTACCCCTCACAATCATTTGAAGATTCTTGCGAAAAAACAGAAACGAATGAGGACTTTCAGCAGAGGAATTTATTCATATAACTGAACTATTGGTTATAATTATGTAACACCTTTTTTTTTTTTCAATAACTGGTTAGAATGACATATTTTGAAGAGATTTTCTCTTGGGTATGAATCCAAATAAAGAGCGTGAAGGGCAATTCTCACATTCAGCTTGGGGAAACGTGAAGGATATATTGTTCACAATTTGAGTGGTATGTTTTCTCATCAAGTCAGTCTTATGAAAAAGGAATTGCTGAACAAATGTACATTAAATGGTGGTCTTGGTCTTTTCCGAGCAACAGATTCCCATTAGAAAAACTAATTTTAGTGCAAAACAAGCATCAAGAGAAACTACATGGAAATAGCCCAACTTGTTTCGGAAATATTGACTATATGACCTGCATAAGTTGTATATATTATAGAGGCATCAATGTCCTATTTGAACTAGTTAAAACTTCACAGTAACTCTTAGATTTGAGGTTGTATGCAGGTTATTGGAGAGAATCACTTGATCCAGGACAGCAGAATCTTTGGTTTTACATGTTATCCGGCGCCTGTTCTACGGTCAGGATATTAATAGTTTCAATTTTTTATTAACTGTAGTTCTAGCCATCAAATTAAATTGAGACAATGTAACCCGAGATAGTAGTCAAGCTATTGATGATGTACACTATAATGTTACCATGCGGTCTATGACTGGGTCGGGCACCCATGAGTTGGGGGTGGGGAATTCACACTTTGCTTTTTGGAGGGAGCCATTAAGACTGCTGCCCTTGATGAATGTCCGCCGGTGTCAGTTAAAGTTCATCTCTTCGCGATCTCACTTCCCCCGGGCCTAGAGGGTCGTCACCAGTGAGGACGTATTATTTCATCCGTTCCATTCCCCCGGGTGTCTCCTGGTCCGGTATTTATGGTCTTCAGGACTAGTGGAGCAGAGTGTCCATTGTGTCAGTAATCCTGTCTTTGTCCCGGCGGCCTCACATGGACCACTTTCCCCATGAAGGCTGTAAGCCGGACTAGTGTGCCTCCAGAGCACGATATAGTGCATGAAGTCTTCAGTGAGTAAAGGGGGACTCCACCTAAAGTTCAAAAACACATTCGAAGAAAAAAAAAAAGAAGGCTTCTGGCATCCGCTTCTGTTGCTCAGCTGCCTCGCTTTGTGATTAGACGAAGGCAGCATCCATCACTCTCGACAATTTCCCTTGTGCATAATATAAACTAGAATTACCGTCTCTGCCAACCAGTCAATTTGAAGTTTTCCTTATCTTTGAGTCCAAGTGAACGTCAGTTGCAAGTTTTTTCGAAGTAATCCCACCGAGGCGCTCCTGAGCCGTCGCGATAACGACGACGGCAGCGTGCGCACGTCCGGACGCACTCTCCGTCAACCTGGAAACATAATGCCTCCGGCCGAGCCCGTCGCCGGCGCAGACATAAAAATGAACGCCTTTTCCCTCTGCTGGCGTCTTGCTATTGAGCATCACCCGGGAGCCACTATTTATCAGGGGCCGATCCACACAACCTCCGCGGGCGTATCACCTCGTGCACGTGGCGGGAGAGACACATCGCTCCCGTTGTCACTGTGAATACTCTGTGCTTTTTCTTCGCCGCACGGCCGAGGTTTGTCTTTGCGCTCAACGCCGTCACCCGGGCGAACTCCCAGGACGCAAGCGCGAGCATGTTAAGGTTATCGAGTCAAACCGGTTGGAATCACTTGATGGGTCTTCTTCCTATGATGCATTTAAATGTGTGGAGCCAAAAAAAGGTGAAGGTCGGCCCCATCCTACCGGTGGTTCGTCGGGAGGCCTTTTTCGCTGTGCCCGTTACTGCCGTCGCTAATCCTTTTTGTTAGAAACACAAACGGCCTTCACACAAGCACAGATGGAGCTTTTCTCACGTGGGAATAACGGGCTGCTCCCACATCACTGCGGACGTCCACTCCCGTCATGCCGTAGCCTGCAAGACACGGTGGCCATCGCGGGTAGCTTCTCCAAAAGCAAGATATCGCGTGGATGCAGCAGCTCTAACGATCCGCAGCCGCACGGGGCTTCCACTGAAGGTCGTCGCGGCGTCGGGCCTCAGTTCATCTCTAATAGCGGAGCTTGTCTCTCGTCTTCCGTCCGCGGCTGGGCGTCATTTCTTCTCCGTCTCAGTGAAATGAGCCGATGGAGAGGGGTTAATCAGCAGAAACCATGTTGCAATGCCTGACCGCATCCAAACCGTTTATTCCCCAAATCCCCTCTCTTGCGGGATCAATGATCTTGCAAATGCCCCGCCGGTCTTGTTCAGAGGGAAGTCTCCATTCGAATATCGGATGGGTTACCTGACGGAGCAGAAACTCCCCGTGTAGTTTCTGGCAGCAGAGGAGAGCAGAGGCTCCTCTTAGGCAATGCGTCGGCATCCCGAAGCGTCTGGGTGCACACGTTGCTGAAGGACTAACGGGGAGGCAGCCCGGGATTTAATTACAATGTACTTCGCTTTCGCGGAAACAACAACTGCTCACGAGTTAGGCCTGACTTCCGTACACAGCCGTTGGGTTGTTCAGGCTTAGCCGAGGTGTTTCCAAGAATATCAAGAGCTGGCGGGGAAGCAGTGAAGGCTCCATGAGCAGAACCCCCCCGCCCCAACTATATAAATGAGACCGGGTTCCAGATTAAGTAGTTGAAAATGTTCCCAGTATTGTGTGGTAAAAGGTAAGCTTGCTTTAGGCAGCCACAGCGGTGAACGAATACACGTTCTCCCCTCGAGGCTGCTGTGGCCGTTCAGTACCACCAACCCACCTGCTGCATTGAAAACACGACGGTTTAGAGCAATGCAGGACACAAAGTTCCCCCAATTAACACATGAAACAAACAAATGCTACACAATCATATCGCGTTTTCTGCTGTTTGAGGTTTGACTGTTGTTCTCTAAATTACACAATGAACTCAAAGTCAAAGGAACCATAAGCATTGATACGTTTGTACTG